TTCTTTTCATGTGGAATAAAAATTAGTTTGTGTCAATTCGAACTGTGTGCGCATGTAATTTTGTATGCATTCAGCGTAAACTACATACTATTCTTATAAATATTCATGTTCAAGGGCCATAATCATGATCTTTTAGTAGATGAAAGTAAACTCTTTTTTTACTAGTTTTATCGAATTGTCAATATACTGGTATAATATAATAGCAATAACCCCCGCCGAAGTTGGGTATACCACTTGGTATACCCGCCTTCGGCAGGGGTTATTGCTTAAATATATTTGGAACCCTTCAATGACGTTCAACTGTGTCAGGAATTGTAGAAAATGTTTTTTACACCAACATCTCAAAATTATCAAAATTGGTCAATACAATATCACCACTGAATCTTAGTCAATATAGATAATCAGAAGGAATCAATGAAGAACAATCGATATATCAGCAAAATTTGGTGTGTTCATTTCGTTAGAAATCACAGCAAACTGGGAATGTGAAACAGGAAATCATTAGTAATTGACATATTGCTGTTCGTCATCCGAGCAACGTTGTAATACTATCAGTATGTGTAGTCGTGTAATTTCGATATTGACAGGTGATTATATGCTTCCATGTGATAGAATGTCTCATATACCCTGGTTAAATACAATAATAATAAAATCACAGTATGTTTGATACTCACCTAACTCTGGTCGAACACACACACGAGTCTCGTTGTAATTACATACCCTCGCGTCACCTATAAATAGCAGATAGTAAACAGTCATCTACAAGCATTGGAATGAAACGATGAAGCATAGAATTTAATTGGAAAAGCAATATATATTGGCGTATTCAAATTACGAATTGAGTTGTCATTTAACAAATGGCAAAGCGTGTAACGAGTTTGTGTTTATGTATCCATGCATAGCTTAAACGTAGAATGATTGGTAAGTCTGGAAATCGCAAAGTGTTTTCTATTTTATCAGGCCAGTAGTGTCTATAGTTGTGTGAATCAGTAATTGCCCCATTTGAAGTGTATGCACAATTATTATAAACATTTAAAGCGCCACAAGGCCAAATTGCTAAACATTCATTTAAACTTACTCGGCATGTAGGGTTCCCGACAACCACACTTTGCGACAACAGCGTCAGTTTGTCGCTCTCGTACACAGTTAGAACGTGCGTATTTTGCAAAATACTGTAGTGTTTCGTTCGAACACTGGCTTGCATAAGGTGCTGGAAGATTGTGTTCCTAAAGACATGGACAAACACTGAAATTCGTTATGTCAGAATCATCCTGTGAGCATAAGGCCACACTGATTTAATTTTATAGATGACATCATCTGGAGACCCCAAAACTAATGCGAGAGGGCGAAAAAAAAATCCTGCCAAAAAAATGCTACTAAAA